CATTACTTGTTAGGCCCAGAAAGCCCATACGTCTGGCTCGGCCCATGATAACCCCTACTAGTTATTCTAGACCACAATCCTTTTTAAAATTTTGCATCCTCATAGAAATCAAATAAGGATGAAAAAGTCTACAGTACATGCAAACATACAATGCCATTGATTAACATAAAATATAAATTTGAACTACTCCCCAAGAGGATGTTTCAAAGAAGTTACTGGTTAAGAGAATTCCAACCTATCCCAACTACTACTAGAGAAAGGATATGGTTTATCTTGCAATGGAGAACTTTTGAAGGGATCATGTTAGTTTTTGTTTTCTTTCATCAATAAAAGATTTAACTTTTGACAAACTTTTTTTTATCAGCAACACAGAAAAGATTCATTAATTTAAAAAGTCATGTACAACAAGAAGTTGTGGGCGGACAAGCAGTCCATAGTGTCCCACTAAATACACCATTGCCACAAACGACCCTAGTGCCAATCCCTTTAATTACAACACAGCACAAAGGGTAACCCAACATAAAGCTCTGCTAATTAAAACGTAGCCCAAAACATAGATTGTCTTTGAACTCCTTGTTTAGCTAGTCCATCAGCCATGCTAGTAGCTGATCTTCTAATCCACCTTATTTGAATCACCATGTCTTTAGAAGCATGTTTGAAGCGCCTGAGCTCATTCCTTAGTTGCCAACTAATTCCTTCCCGTCTTCAACCAGTTCACCACAGTTTTTGAGTCTCCTTCAACAATCAGCCTCTCAATCCCCATTTCTTTAGCTGTCTCAACTCCAAACACTGCAGCCTTCATTTCAGAAGTCACCACATCACCATGCTGAATAGGACCTGAGAACATGGCAACCAAATTTTCATTCTCATCCCTAATCAAAATTTAGTTTCTTCCACTCAGCATCCGGAGGGGACCAGGATTCAATTACAATAGATTTTCTAGATGCAGTGTTTGCAATTGTTCCCCATGATCTGAAGAAGTCTTCTATCTTAAAATCAGCAAACAATTTTAGTGTTTTCACCCACTACACCACCCTTAGAGTTATCACTTCAATCAGTTTCTTTACTCCTCTCTTTGTCATCAAATATCCTCAGATTTCTTTCTTCCCAAATTGTCCAAGCTACTGCTGCCCTAGTGCATCTTCCCATAATTCTGCCTTTCCTTTTAGAACACCTGAATAAGTGAGAGCTTAAGAAGGATTCCAAATTATTAGGAGTCGCTGCAACCAAACAAAGAGGAAAACCACTCCCAAATGAAGTTAGCAAAAGGACAGGAAATTAAAAGACGAAAGGCAGTCTCACCGTGCAGCTTACACAAGGAGCACCGATTTGGGGACAAGCACCAAGTTGGTCTTTTTCTCTGAAGTAGATCACAGGTATTGATGGAATCATGGAACACTTCCCAACAGACCGTGCTGACTTTAGGAGGGATGGGGCGAGTCCAAATCTCCTTGACAAGGAAAAAAGGGGAGGAATCAGAAGCAACTAGAGAGTTAAATAAGGATTTGCAAGAGAAAGACCCTGACTGATTGAGTGACCAAACTCTAGAGTCTGAACCACTGTCCCCAAAGGTCACAGAGTTCAGCAAATTAACCAAAGCAAAGACACTAGACAATTCAGATTCTCTCAAATTTCTAACAAAACCTAGATTCCAATTCAGTTTTGAAAGTGAGGAGGAAGAGAAAATAAAGTCACTAATGGGTTTTTATTTGAAGTTAGAGAGAACAAAAAGGGAAGGTAACACCTCGAACAAGGGGGAATCCCCAATCCAAATGTCCTCCCAAAATCTGATTTTATGACCCGAAACCAAATCATACCTAACATTTTTTTTTTATTTTTTAACATTTTTTTAATTTTTGTGTCTTGCTTAAAAAGGCGTGTGCCTCACCTTGCGCCTCAGGCGCAAATTGACCCCTTGCGCCTTTTTTGCACCTTGCACTTTTACTCCCCTATTTCACAACCCAACACATCAACCCAAACTCTCAAAGCATCCTCTTCCAAATTGATACCAGCCACTAGATTCTTCGACCAATTGATTTTTAAGTTGGAAATTCTTTCAAAAAGGCTCACAACTAGCTTTAGATTTTCTACACCATCACGGCTTTCTCCCTACTATCCAACCTTTAATCAAAAGCATCGAATTAGCCCTAGAAATTAACTTACTTAAAACCTCAGCCACCAAAATAAAGAGGAAAGGAGAGAGTGGATCTCCTATCTCAATCCTCTTATCCCTTCAATGAAATCAACTGCAGTACCATTCACTAAGACTAAAAAAAGACTTGTTTGCAAACAACCTCTGATCCACTTGCACCACAAATCCCCAAATCCACACCTTCTCATGATATCAATCAAGAAATCCTAGCCAACAAGATCGTAAGCCTTCTCCAAATCCAATTTAATTACTACCCCCTTCCTCTTTAGTCTTTTTTGAGCCTCCACACATTCACTTGCAACTAGAATTTGATTGATGTTTTGTCTATCTTGGACAAAGGCTCCTTAGTAAAGCGAAATGATAGAAGAAAGAACTTTTTTAAGCCTTAGAGATAGCACCTTAGCAATTATCTTGTAGATACTAGTCACTAAGCTTATAGGTCTAAAATCTCCTGGTTGGGTGGTAGCTTGCTTCTTTGGGATCAAAGCTATGAAGGTTCAATTCATCCCAAGGCTAATTACTCCCCTCCTATGGAACTCCCTAAACACTTTCATCAAATCAAATTTTATTATCTCCCAGCAATCTTGATAGAAAGCCAATGTGAAACCATCAGGCCCAAGAGCCTTATATCTATCCATAGAGAATATGGCATCTTTAACTTCAGCCTCCTCAAAGTTCCTTTCCAATGAATGTACTTGATTCTCATCCAAACACTCCCAATCCAATCCATCCAAAGTCCACCTCTCAGAAATTGGCCTACAAAAAAAAGAACTGAAATGATTTGCAAAGGCTTTAGTTATTTCCTCTTGACTTGTGATCTCAGCCCCTTCCACTATTAAAGAGGAAATATAGCTCTTCCTTTTCCTACCATTGGCTAAAGCATGGAAAAACTGTGTTGACATCACCTTCCTGAATCCATTTCTCTCTTTGACTTTTTCTTCCAACTAATCTCCTCTCTCAACAAAAGATCCTCTAACTCCTTTAGAGACCATCTTCTTTCTCTTTCATACCCTTCTAAAACACCTGGCACTTCTTTCCTATCAAGCTCCTCAATTTGAGCAAACAAACTACTCTTTTTCTCTTCCAATCTCCCAAACTCCACTCTTTAATCTCCCCTTTCAGCTTTTGTAATTTCCTCGAAAACTTTTGTCAACTCCTTAACCTTTTTGTTAAAGTTCGGGTGGGTGAGCCACATGTACTCAAACCTAAAAGGAATAGGGCCCCCCTCACTAGACCTCTAAAACAAACAAATTAGCCAATGATACGATGTGATTCTAGATAGAGACTTCCCCCTGAGACCAACCTAATGTTCTTCGTAGTACAAAGACAAAAGAAATCTATCAAGTCCGGAACAAATAGGATTAGCCTAGAGATGGACCAAGTAAAACAAGACTGCCCTAGTGGGATATCTCTTAACTCAAAAGGCCCCAATAAAATTGTTAAATTTCCTCATACTTGAAGTGACCCTCTGTCTTCCTCCACTTGATTCACCCACAAATCTGATCACATTAAAGTCACCTCCTAAACACCAAGGGCCATCCCATAAGCCTCTAATATCTGATAGTTCTTCCCACATCACATTCCTTTCTCTATAAGAATTTGGTCCATAAACATTGTTAAGGACCCAATAAAACCCATCCTGATTGTTTTTCAGCTTTACCAAGACAGAAAAACTTCCCACTAGCTCTTCAGAACAATAAAACATATCTTCCTTCCAGACTGTTATTATTCCCCCTGCACCCCAGGCTGGTGCAAAACTCCACTAACATCTTCTTTCTCCCCAAAAACTCCTAATCCACTTCCTATTGACCTCCTGAACCTTTGATTCCTGAATCATAACTATGTCTGCTTTTCTTTCTTCAACAGTTCCCTAATCATTCTTCTTTTCATAGCACTTCCTAGACCCCTGACATTCCGGCTAATAATCTTCATTGACACTTTAAAAACCCCGAAGCCCCCTTTTCCTAAAGACCTCCCTTTCTTCTCCCCCCTCTAGCACTGAATTTTTTGTCCCCTTCAACATTATTAATTAGTTTTTCCACTTCATCCAATTTTTTCTTTCTTTTTCCACCCCCAGTTTTCCTTGTACTTTTTTTAATTGGTATCTCCTTGGAATTCTCAATGTTAAGCCCCAACTTGTTAGCCATGTTCTTCACTTGATCCTCTTCCACCTGTTGTTGTCCTCCTATAGGTTCTCCTTCAATCCTGCAGATTACTTCTTTGTCTTCCATCAAATCAGGTTTATCCTTCTCCAAACCTATTTTTTCCTTATCCTTCTCTCCCTCTTTACTAAGTTTGACATCCCTCACACTTTCCCCCAAGTGTGCTGCCTCCCTCCCATAATCAGACTTTGGCTCCTCAATTGGATATTCCCCCACCACAATACTACAGTTGTTCAAGTCCATGGGCCTGTTCTCAGCAAGATCGGGGATTGGGCTATCTACAACAGAGCAAGAAGAAACTTTTGATAAACTATCATACAAACATGTAACTCAAAAAATGTTAGTTGTGAAAAATCTGAAAATCATTATAACAAGATGGTAGCACTTTTTTAATGGATTAGAAGACAGTAACACTTAATAAGTTTTCTCTTTATACTTCAATAGTTGAACCTGTAAAGTCCCCAAAGGATGGCATATTATAATATGTACTGGGAAGGACAGTTATCAATAAAGAAAAGTCATTTAAATAATGATCTATCTTAATATTCATCAACCAAATAAAAGTATCGTCGAAAGCTAACCTTCAATAAAAGGCACAGACATTAAAGATGTTGAATATCAACAGGTATATAATCAGTCATCGTGACAAAATTATAGAGGAGTGAAACATAAAAGCAATGTCAAACCTTATCTATCTGATCATTTGCCATCTCTACGGATGCAGGTAACTTTTGAGCAGGTTTCTCATGAATAGTCTGGTTGCTAGTCAGCTGCAACCCCTTCTCTCTTAGCTCCCTCTCCTGCTCAAATTCTCTGAGGGCCAATTGAATCAACTATGAGTTGGTTTGCACAACAACATCAATAAGATGCACGTAATTTTATGGGTTATATGCAGTACCTGAACCCAGTTTTGGAAGTGAGCAGCTGGACTGTAACCTGGAGTCAAATAGTAAAATCACCAAGACAAGAACAGGGAATATTGTGATGATGCTAGTACAAATAGCAAAAAAAATGGCTTGTAGTATGCAAGAAAATCACAAAGCCCAAATCCAAGATGGAATTCCTCTTATTTTCTAGAAAGCAAACACAAAGCTAAAAACAAAAGGTCCATCTTGTGAAGGCTATATGCAAATAAAATCCTTTATAGGCATGAACACCATAAAGAACTTTAAACTTTATTGAAGGTGAATCTTTGTCTTGTAAAGGTTACATAAAAAAGTATAACAAACTATGAAAGTACACTAGGACTGGAATCTTCAGAAGAACAAAGAAATACTTACATGCAAAACAGTTCCATGGCTGCACCCTTGAAGAGGCAATGCAACAGTAGAAGGCTTGGATGCATCTGCAAAATCAGCAAGGTTGATGTAAGCCTCACCAAGGAGGCTAGATCGAGAAGACCCCTAACATCAATGAAATTCGTGTCAATATAATTATTAGTCTTATCTAGGAAAACATTAAATAAATTGGCACATCCCATTGCAGGATAAACAACAAAAAATGAGAAAACATAAATAAGAGATATAGAAAAAATCTGCACTGCAGTCTGTTGGTGTGAAAATTTTAATAAATTCTCATGCAACATAGTTCACTCAATCAAGTGATTGAGTTTTCATTATTTTGGGTAAGGCCCATTCAGGGAATCATACGGATTGTTCCCCTTAATTACATCTCCACAAGAAAGTAGAAAACACCTTTTGATTCTGACTTGGAGAAATGAACGCATAGAACAAAAGAAAAGAACAATAGGGTACTTAAAAAGAACTTTTCATTTGCTTTTCTTTTACAACAAGTGTACAAGAATGAGAAGAAAGAAAAAGAAAATACAATTGAAAAACTATACACCAATACATTTCTCTTTTCTTTCTAATACAAAGAAAATTTCCTTCTCACTCCTTTCTTCACAATAAGCTGTAGTCAATCATATGAAACTCTGATTGTAGACAGCCTTAATCTTTGGAATTTTGCATACAAAAAGGGAACCATAGTCAATAGAAGAAAAACAGTCTTTTGAAAAAAAAGGACTGTTCAAAAAGTTGCAGAAAATCAAAAGGAAGTAACAAAAATCAAGTTTCAAGAAGAGAGAAGAAGAAGAAAAAGGTGGCGGCAACTAGGGTTCAGAGAGAGAGATTTTCGAACATAACCTTCTCTCTTACACCCCTAATTCTATTTCATTAAGTTAAACCTTAATAATTTACAGAGAGGCCCCTAGTTGGGCAAAAAATTAAAAAACATAACACAAGAAAGAATAAAGCCCAGATTAAGGCCCATTACAGCAAAGAACATAAAAAATAAAAAAGGATAAACAGCCTATGGGCCATTTGGCCCATCTTCTCTACACTCCCCCTCAAGCTGAGCATAGATGTCAATCATGCCAAGCTTGCCAGTATCATGCTGAAGTTTAGCCTTGGGAATGCCCTTGGTGAGAAAATCAACTAACTATCCTTCAGAAGTGATGAAAGGTAGACACACCTCTCTAGAAGCCACTCTTTCTTGAATGAAGTGTCTATCAACTTCAATATGTTTAGTTCTGTCATGTTATACTGAATTGTGAGCAATGTTGATGGCAACCTGATTATCACAGTATAACTTCATTAGCTTATCATGCTCAATACCCAGTTCCTCCATCAAGGATCTAAGCCACAGTAGTTCAGAAACTCCATGAGCCATGGCTCTGTATTTAGTTTCAGTTGAAGATCGGACAACAACTGATTGTTTCTTGCTTCTCCAAGAGATAATATTACCTGCCACCAAGCTATAGTACCTAGATGTAGATCTTTTGTCATCAATGTTTTCGGCCCAATCAGCATCTGTGTAGGCTTCAAGTTTCATATGGCCATGCTTAGCAAATGGAATTCCCTTTCCAAGGGAACCCTTCAAATAACACAAAATCCGCTCTGTTGCTACCATGTGAGTATCCCTGGGAACATGCATGAACTGACTAATGCAGCTGATAGCATATGCAATGTTTGGCTGAGTCATGCATAGATAGAGAAGTTTTCCAAGTAGTCTCTGGAAGACTCCCTTATCTTTCAACAATATTCCATCTAAAGCAGAGAGTTTATGACTCATATCAATAAGAGTAGCAACTGGTCTAGCACCAATCTTCCCTGTTTCAGAAAGCAAATCAAGTACATACTTTCTCTGAGAGATAAGGATCCCATCCTTAGATCTAACAACTTCTATGCCAAGAAAGTATTTCAATTCCCCCAGATCTTTGATCTCAAACTCTGTATGAAGGAAAGATTTGAGATCATTAATCCCTGATACATCATTACCAGTCACAACAATATTATCAACATACACAATCAAGTAAACAACCAAGGATCCTCTCCTCTTCACAAAGAGGGTATGATCAGACTGTGTCTGTACATAGCCAAAGCTAACAAGAGCAGCCTTAAACCTTTCAAACCATGCTCTAAGGGACTGTTTAAATTCATAAAGAGATTTCTTCAGCCTGCAGACCTTCCCTTTCATATCTGTTTCATACATCCCTGAAGGAAGAAACATATAGACCTCCTCATGTAACTTTCCATTCAGAAATGCATTCTTTACATCTAGCTGATAAAGTGGCCAGTCTAAGTGTGCAGCCAGAGATAGCAAAACTCTCACAGAAGTCATCTTTGCAACAGAAGCAAAGGTCTCCAAATAATCAATCCCATATGTTTGTGTATAACCTTTTGCAACCAACTTAGCCTTGTACCTTTCAATGGTGCCATCAGCATGATATTTGATAGTAAAAACCCACTTACAGCCTACTGGATCCTTCCCTTCAGGCAAATCAACCACTTCCCAAGTGTCATTCTTGTGTAGGGCATCAAAGGGGTTGTGTATTAGAAGAAAGGTAGGCAAAATATGAAGGAGAGAGCAAACTATAAGAAAGGTGTTTGGAAATGCAATGTGTAGTACATTTCCTTTTTCCTTTCCTAATAGCAATAGGGATATCAAGGTCTGGGTAGGATGACTCCAATGGGGCTGTGTATCAGTACCTGTTGTCTCTTCTGTGACTGGAAGTGAAGAAGGCTCATGTGCTATAGGGGAAACAATCTGCTCACTTCTGGTTCTCTGTCGTTGGGACAACCTAGGATTAAAAAAATGATGAGGTAAAGGAGGAGGGATAGGAACACTAGAATGAGAATGAAAAGACTGATCCTCCCTTGACTCATTTGAAGGAGGAAGAGTCTCAATAGAAGACTCAACTGAGACAGGAAGGGGAAGAGCAAATAACTGTGACAAATTCTCCCCCTTTGGACAATGCCTCTCCTGAGAAGAATCATAAAAGGAAGAGAACTCATCAAAGGTGACATCCATTGAGACATACCAAGTGCTAGTCTTCGGATCAAAACATCAATAACACTTTTGTGTGGGGGAATAACCAAGGAAGATACACTTGTGGGCTTTTGGTTCAAATTTATGTCTTTGGACACTTGGGATATGTACATAACAAATGCAGCCAAAGACACGAAAAGGAATAGGAAAAAGATCCTTGCTCAGATGAAGAAGATTGAAGGGAGACTTAAACCCCAAAACCCTAGATGGCATACGGTTAATTAGGTAGGTTGCATTGAGAACAGCATCACCCCAAAATTTTGTAGGGACATGTGAGGCAAATAAAATACTTCTTGCAACTTCAATAATATGCCGATTTTTTCTTTCAGTAACTCCATTCTGTTCTGGGGTCCTAACACAGGAGCTTTGCTGAATAACCCCCAAGCCAGTGAGATAACAGGTCAGGTTTTTCTCATATTCTTTTGCATTGTCTGATCTGAAAATTTTAATTCTGGTATCAAACTGGGTTAGGACAAATTCATGGAATTGCCTCACAAGTCTGGGAACTTCATCACGGGACTTCATCAAAAATATCCAAGTGAACCGAGAAAAGTCATCAATGAACAAGATAAAATATTTGTARCCACCCATAGAAGGTAAGTGGTAAGGCCACCACACATCAGAGTGCACAATATGAAATGGAGAAGAAGATCTTTTATTACTCAGAGGATAACTGCTTCTACAATGTTTTGACAATTCACACRACTCACAATGAAGACTRRACAGACTAATTCCCTTAAACAGTTCTGGGAATAAATGACTTTATGCAGAAAAAGAAAGATGACCCAAACGAAAATGACATAACATGACTCGACTGATGGACTCTGTAGATGTAGGCCCAAAAGAAGCTTTTTCAGGTTGTCCATGGCTCTACCCAGGAGTGTCCAGCATATATATTCCATTCACCTCATGGCCCCTCCCAATCACTTTCTAAGACTCCAGATCCTGAAAAACACAGTAGGAAGGAAAGAAGGTTACACAACAGTTCAATGACTTAGTTAGGCTACTTACAGATAACAAATTAGTATTTAGCTTGGGTACATGAAGAGCAGAGGGAAGTACCAAGGAATCTGTAGCCTTGATGGTTCCCTTGCCGGAGATAGGGGCAAGGGAGCCATCGGCTAGGGTGATTTTGTCACGGCCAATAAGTAAATCATAAGAAACAAACAAAGTGGAAAGGTTGGTCATATGATCAGAAGCACCAGAATCAATAATCCAAGGGATCCTACGATTACCTGAAATAGTTGCATGATTGGTAGAAGCCCGTATACCTGAATGAGCAAATGCAAAAGAGGTTGAATTTCCTAGAGAGTTGGAAGAAGAGGCCACACCCTCTAGGTGATTGATCATCCTTCCAAACTTCTCATATTCTGCCTTCATAGCCGCTAACTGCTAACTAGCAGTCATTTCTTCAATTTGATATCTGTCACTATTTGGACCAGCAGCAATATTGGCACTCCCTGCCTTCATATTATCAGACTTCTTTTGAAACCAAAGAGAAAGAAGCTCAGGATGCAATTTCCAACACTTGTCTTTAGTGTGTTTTGGCTTCTTGCAATACTCACAAATAATTTCTTTCTTCCCTGAGCTACTTGGAGTCCCAGCAACTCCCTTGGGTTTCACTCCCATATTAGCAAGGTGATCATTTAGACCAACCCCTTGAACCTGGACAAGTCTCATGCTTTCTTCACTGCTTACCAAGGCATAGGCTTGAGACAGTGAAACACTATCCTTGGATAAAATATTTTGTTTTGTGATATCATACTCTAGATTCAATCTTGTCAAAAACTCAAACACCTTGTTTCTCTCAACAAGTTTCCTGTAGGTCTCAACATCATTAGTGGTGTCTCAGGCTATAGCTTCTATCGAATCAATTTCTTGCCATAAAGACTTCAGTATTGAGAAATAAATAGCTAACAATTTATCCCCTGTCTCAAATTCTTCACATCACTTCTCAGCTTGTAAACCTTGGCCACATTTAATTTCTAGGAATAGGTTTCAACAACACTATCCCAAATTTCCTTTGCTGAATTCATCCACAAATAGTGCTGACTAATCTGCGATTGCATTGAGTTCACAAGCCATCCAATAACAGTATAATTTTCTTACATCCATTTTTCATATGATGGATCATCTTCCGAAGGAGCCTTCTTGCTCCCAGAGATAAAACCCCATTTGCTTCTACTGCAGATATGAATTTTTACTGATTGTGACCAAACCAGATAATTAGTTCCATCCAGCTTGACTGTGGTCACAGCCAATAGAGAGTCTACAGAGGCTCCCAGAACCTGTTCAGATTCAGCAACATGCTTGTTTTCAACTTCTAAAGGGTTCATCTTCTTAAATACTTCGAAAATAACTTCTAACAACTTCGAATAACAACAAATGAAGACAACAAAAACTGTATTGTGAGCCAACCTCTATGCAGCCATACCAGCTACTTATGTCACACCTGGAAGTCAGGAGAAACAGAGAAATCTCAGTCCTCCTTGTAGACTTCACAGAACACCAATCCACTTGATTCGATCTTCAAGATGAAGGGTGAGAAGACTTTCAGTCACTGAGCGCCCAGGTCAAACTCCCTATGGGGCCCATAATCAGATTTATCCAGAAAATTAGGGTTTCAGGCAACACACTTGAATCTGTCAGGAGGACGACAAAACCAATCCCCTTCTCTCCAGAAACCACTAACAACTAGGCTAAAATAAGTTTCTTTAACTATTCATATGATTCAGTTCTCCATACACACTGTGTATGAAAAAAAAGAAGTGAAAAAAGAGAAAAGTCGAGCCTGCTCTGATACCAAGAAGAAAAACAACCTTTTGAAAATAAAGGACTGTTCAAAAGGTTGCAGAAAATCAAAAGGAAGTAGCAGAAATCAGGTTTCAAGAAGAGAGAAGAAGAAGAAGAAGGTGGCGGCAACTAGGGTTCAAAGAGAAAGATTTTCTAACATAACTTTCTCTCTTACACCCCTAATTCTATTTCATTAAGTTAAACTTTAATAATTTACAGAGAGGCCCCTAGTTGGCAAAAAATTAAAAAACATAACACAAGAAAGAATAAAGCCCAGATTAAGGCCCATTACAGCAAAGAACATAAAAAATAATAAATAGCCTATGGGCCATTCAGCTCATCTTCTCTACAATCAAATTAAATATTTGATTGTAGACGATTTTCATCCCTCTGCTCTTCATTTTCATTTGAAGGGAACCATAATCAGGCTTCGAAAATTAGACTTTAGATGGTTTAATCCCTAACTTTGTCTTGAAAGATGGACCATAATCAACCAAGTAGAGGCACATGGTTGTAGATGGTTTATTTCCCTCTATTTCCTTTCTCAAAAGTGAAAATAAAAGAGAGAGGAAGAAGGATACAAAGCAAAAGACATATATAGGAAGTATTCACAAAGAGGAATTTCTTTTTTCTACCTGTATTAGTGAGACTTTTCCTTAGCACTTTTCTTTTCTTCTCTCCTTATCTTTTCTTTTCTTAAGAATCTCTTGTGAAAATTTTCTCCAAAGAGTCTCTCCATCTGTCCTTCTAGCTTCCCCTTAAGAAGCTTAAATAGGGAGTGGGGTAGTAATGTAACTACCTCCTCCTCCTAGGTGACATCTGTCCCTCCCACTTAAAGAGAGGGAACTCCCATACAGGATACTTTTTTATAATTTTAATGATTTGGCTAGCAGACTAGCTAACCCACTTATTACATATTATTTGAATAAAAAAATGACTTCAACACAGTCAAGATGATTGAATGATTAAAAATGAAATATAGTTAGGAAGGGTCAGTACCATAGCCATGACAAGCTTATACATCTTTTCATCATACTGTTTGGTTTTGGCATCTTGGAGAAGTCTTGTAGTCTCATAAATGGGATCTGCCCATTTGCAAGTCCCATTTCTGACATTTGCTTTAGTTGTCTTCGCTGTTGCCTTCCCAGAGTCAGCAGGAATGAAAGAGATAAACAATTTATCCCATCCAGTTTGCGGGATCTGAAATAAACCAAAAGAGATATTAAATATTTTAGCTATCACTGGAGAGATTGAAAAAAAATGGTTACACAGAACATCATTTTCCAAGATTGCAGAAGATATGCAGTTTGGTCTATCATTCCTAAATTCTGAAGAGAGCATTATGATGCTAATTATTATCATCTTGAAATAAAATGTATGGATTTGATTGAAAAACCCTCTAGAAGCCCCAGACACAGATATATCTAAAAATCAGTAACTTTGCAATATACTACCCTGATATTCCTTGAAATCTATCCTGACCATTTCTCCATTTTGTTTTACAATTGATGTTTTCTTTTTTTTTTTTTTGTTTACAATTTGTACAAGAATTAGGCTAGCATCAGCTACTTAATACCAAATTACATTGGCATCCCCTACATTATTACTCCCCAATATAGACTTCCCCTATTGACTCATTGTCTTGCAAATGTGTCTGCAACATTTTTAGCAGTTCTATTAGAACAGTTCATGTCCACACCCAGCACTCTAGCCAGCTGTCTAGTTTCTCTCTGTGTATCTATTTAGATAAAAGAAGATGAAAATCAAAATGAAAAAAATAACTATGTGAGCAACTGGATTAAAAATGGGACAGGATGTGAAGGAGTTTGGAGGAATGAGGATGCAATGTTATGCCAGTTATGGTTGCAAGACCTCAATTATTAAGAAACAACATGGTGAATCCAAATGGGGGAAAGGTCAAAGAAAAGAAAGTCACTTACTACTGATGGTAACCTAGTAGGATAAACCACAATCAGTGAAAGAATTAAATCTCTTAAAATACAAAAAACAAAAAGGTTTCATCTTTCAACTTTGTTTTTAGCTCAAAACATGGAAGTAGAGAAACTGCATTGTTTGTGTAGAAACATTTTGAAAAGTGGAATATTGCAAGGAGCCTGTGCTTAAATAAATAAAGTCATTTGTGGAAAAGCATTTCATCTTTCTTTCTTCTTCTTTCTTTTTTTGGAAAAAGAAGAAGGTCATGAATCATATTCAATTATGTTCATCCCCGAATTTGGTGTTAAGCGGGCAAAGATAACAATTCATAAGGTGGATATGTTTGCAACTAGGGCTAAAAAGGTCCCGCACTCTTGGGATCACTGATGAACTCTTTCTACAACTTAACATTGCATGAGTTATATCATATCATCTATTCCCAGAATGCAGAATCCATGGTTCAACATGTTGGCACAGAAGTTCTGCCTTCATCCCTTTTCTGATGACAATATGTAACTTTAGGAAATCCAAACAAGACTAGTTGAATGTAGCGCTGATCATGGGCCTAGCCAGGCTGGGCTTAGCATCTATAATAATGGTTATAGTCTAGGGCCAGCCCAGAACCTGGGCCTAAAATATAAGCCTGGGCTCGGGTCTATATGGGCCCAAGCCCGGGCCAGGCTTTGGGCCTATGGCATCTAATAACAAAAATTAAATTAAATTATGTATAATACATTAAAAAAGTATTGTACAAGCCCAAGCTAGGTCAGGCTTGGGCCGCTTGGCTACGCTTTGGGCCTATGGCACAAAAAATAAGGCATGCCTTGCCTAGGAAGACAACTCTCATACTTGAGTTGACTCATGTGTTAACTGATGTGTCAACTCATGATGTGTATATATTAAAGTTTTTATATTTTATATAAAATATTTAATATAAAATAAAATATACTTGCATATATATAACATTTAAAATGTATATAATATAGATATAACATAATATAATGTTAAGTGTATATATAATTTGTTATATATAATACATAATATAATATATTATAATATAAAAGTTATATATATATATATATGCCCTGGCCCAGAAATTTGTAGGCTGGGCCAGGCCAAGAATGCTGAATGCTTCTAGAGTTTTAAAAATCTAGAAGAAATAATAACTAGAATTGCATATATAAAATGAAATATTTAAAATGTATATAATATAGATATAACATAATATAATGTTAAGTATATATAATTTGTTGTATATAATACATAATTACATATTATAATATATTATAATATAAGAGTATTATATATATATATATTTGCCCCGGACCAGAAATTTGTAGGCTGGGCCAGGTCAAGAATGCTGAATGCTTCTAGAGTTCTAAAAATCTAGAAGAAATAATGTCTAGAATTGCTTAATTAGTAGGAGTGCAAATTCGGTTGGCCTGAGTTAACATTTTACACTACTTTGGGCTCAGGCCCATTCAAACCAACCTAAACCTGCCCAAGTTGCAACCTTATTAATTAGCAACCCCCAAAAGCAAGCTAGACATACTAAATCCCAATAAATTTGAAAAGCTATTTACGAGAGTGGTGTCCAAAAACCAGATTTGAACTAGATTATGAACCCCAAATTGCTTTTGCATAGGCTCCCTTTTGAACTGGGGATTTTTTGAGAAATCCTAGATACATTTGCACCAGTTTCTCCGTCCAAGTTGCACAGAGACAAGTCCAAAACACATCTTATTAGATCATCAACATGTCAGCACAACAGACATATGAACATTGGAAAATATCTAATTCCAATATAACTTTGGCCACAGAAGAATCACAAAACATGAAATTCATATTGCATCTGGAAGGTGACACTGAAATTGGGGGAAAAAGATAACCATCAAGAACTTACATGTGTGGCATGGAATTGTAGCCGGAAAACCACTTTTACTTTTGTCTTCTCAAGCTTCCACTTAGCAATTCTTGACATTATTAAAAAATCAACTGCTCACCAACTGCAAAGTGCAAACCATCAGTTTTCTTATATCACTTCCCTGATCAATCAATCAAAATCAATGACAACAGCTAAAATTATATCTCCACATCTAAGATAATTCAAAAGTTCACAACAAAAATTGAAAAAAAAAATATCAAAGAGGAAAACAACAATGCCCGATTCCAAGACCAAGGGAAAGGAAAACGTTCTACAAAACTTGATTCAGAAACCCAAATTAAAAAAAAAAAAAAAAAAAAAAAAGAGCAAACAAACAAAACAAAACAAAAAGAGGAACGGCTCCAAAAATTTTAATACCATTTTCAGAGCCCTATCAATGCCCTATATGTGATTTACAGAAGATTAACAAGTGATAATAATAAGGCTTAGTATTTGACAAAAATGCATTTTGTTGCAGAAAGAGAGTAATTCAGATGGTGGAACCAAGAACTCAAATTTCAGAAAGAAACAATATAGAAGAATGGCTACAAACAGTGTGTACATTTGTATGCATGTGTGGGATGACTTTGAAAAATAGTGTTCAATTTTGAAAGAAGAATATAATAAGATGTAGATCAAAAATAGTGTTCATCCTATTCATCTGAACTTAGATGCCTCATTTAAAAACAATAAAATGGCAGATATCTAATCAAGTCAAAGCCAGCCACAATTGAATCATGGTGCCGGTAGTCATTGCTAGGCTAGAGTGCAAAACAACATTCAGAGGCAGACTAGGACAAAGACAATAGAGTGCCACCTTGGAAACAAATTCCTATTACAGACAACTCAACTACTCAGCCTTAATCCCAAATATTTGGAGTTGGTAACAAAAAGCCCTGTCCTGCTATTTTGATCCATCAAGCACCATGTTTTTTATTAAGCCACGCTTTATCTAACCTTTATATCATTTCTTGAATCATTTTTACCCACACTAGACACTGTACTTCAAATATTATTCGATGCCAATTTAGGAGCATTCAAAAAGAAGAAAGTATTATGAAAAAATAAATAAATATCAACATCAATGTTAGATTCTCTTGGTGAACAAATGAAAAAATTGGTTATGCTTGGGAAAAAATTGACTGTAAAAAGAAAGTATGTTGCATACACAGATGATTTTGCCAGTGTACACCAAAGCCTGGATTTCATATTCACAAGCATATAAAAGAAGATATAGACCCCAATTGTGTCCATGGATATAAATGGCAGAGACAATCAGAAGGATTTGGGATTCTAAAGGTCTAGAAACGCAATGTAATTCTGAAGTACTAGAAAAGAACTCGAGCACAGAGTCATATCCAAATGTAAAAGTTAAAAAATAAAAAATACTGACAACGATCTTCTAGAAAACTCTCAAATCCATGTAAAAAATCTGGAGCTGCCGAGACAGAACTTGCATCAAAATTCCCAGCTATATCAGGAAAATCGACTGCTTAAGCAATAAAACTGCACATCTATTCTTCAACATCTCAGATCTAGGACTCACACCAGGGCGACAAACGAAATACGAAAGAAAAAAGAATCTCAAAGGAATTTCCAAATTCCTCAAACTCAAACAGTGGTGCCGTCTGATATCAACTAAACAGAATCGGAAAATATAGATCAAGCTAAATCCAGCAGGCAGCTTCTTGAGCAGTATAGATAATAGAACATTAAAAACTTGAATCACTTCTGTGACAAAAACCTCGATTTTACGATGCCATTATAAGCCAAACTCAAGCCTACAAAATCAGATAAATTACCGACCTCATAACTTATTAAATCAATAAAAGTTCTTCGCATTCTAGATGCATTCAGCGAACAGCTCTTACTAACAAGTAACAACGCCATTTCCATCAAAAAAGTACATATCTCGAACTTCCAACTAAAACTTACCAAGAGATGAGAAAACCAAACAAACACTCCCCGACTATCTCTCAGATTCAATCACTATAACCAAAGCAAAGCAACTTTGGGGACTGGAATACGGTGGAAGGACAATCCAAAAGGAAATGCCACGTTTAATCTAGTAAATATAGTCCAGTAAAGTAGAAAAGAAAAGCTAAAGTAGTATGCTCCTCCAGAAAAGGTCAAAACTCCCAAATCTAACCAGATTCCACCTCAGAAACTTCCAAATGCAGAATATCGTACAGCAAGATCAGTAAATTTTGCCAGTTCGAACTGTAAATGCAGACCAAGACTGATATGAAAACTAGAAAAAAAAATGAAAAAGAAGGAAAAAATGAAACTGAAAGCGAAAAAAAAAAAAACATTTAGGAAAGGACGACGTAGAGTCATCTCCCACCTAATTCCGCATCCGCAAGTGCTTAGACTGCAAGAAAAACCGAGGCACCTGCCGATGGAAGCTTCGGCTCTGCTGAAATGACAGATCGCGAGAGCTCCGCCTTGGATCTTCGAGCTCTTATTGGCGTAAACAAGCAATAAATCTAGGGCTCTCGCCATTGAAGATGACGGGAAAATGAATCGAAGATGAAATATTATCAGCTATTGTAACAGTGATTAAAAAATTATAAAAAAAAAATGAAGCGATACCCGCCAAAGGCTGTTATTGTCATTAACAAAACGGAATAGAAGGGGGATTAAAAAATAATTAATTTTTTATTTAACAAGGAATGATTCGAATAACTAAAATACCCCCCTTCTTTTGACTAGAGTCACAATGCGACATCCCTCATGTGTCTGCTTGATAACTGTAACAAAAACCAACCACTCCACTGATCCACTCACAGTTTTCCAGCTTCTGAATTGACCAAATTGTCCTTATGGAAGCCGGCTTCCGCAGTTGTGCTGTCCGATGAGACTGACCTCTCCGGTCTTTCGGAAACGAGTCGAGTTTAGTCGAGTCGACTCTCCAGGTTCAGTCGCTATCTAGATCCAAGTCATCCAACGTTGCTGTAAAAGTCTACCAAAAATATAGAGAACACGTGTTATTACCTTAGAAAATACTTAAATTGACAAAACTATCCTTAGATGGATATGTGGAGAATAATGGTTCATGACTCATCCCAGGTCCCAGCCGAAGCAAGAACAAGAAGACATGAACTGTCGCACATAATCAGTGGGCTGGGTAAGGAGTGATTAGTCCCCACATTTCTTCTGTTTGGTACAGAATGAGTCATAACTCGTAATCCTCCTGAGTCATGACAAATCGATGAACGAGTCCCCACTTGAAATAACTCTGATGGATGCTTTGATTTTTTGTTTTATAGGATGATAATTCGTACTTCTGTCTCACTTGCGAGCGAAAAATTGACAGTCCAAAATATCAGAGTAAGATGGGACGGCCAAGATGCTCCGATTATATAGAAATCCAAAACAATTTAAAATTAGCGGAAGGGGCCTGCACGCAGGGTTCGCTCATAAATTATCGAGCTCGATTCAAATTAAAGATTTGAATTATTAAGCCCATGCCCAGCCCTAAAATTTGCGGGCCTCATGTGGGTCCGTGCCCGGGCCGAGCCTAAACACAAAACCTAGGCCCAAGCCTAGAATTTTCGGGTTGGGCTTGTGCAAGTCAGGCTGAAATGATCACCCCTAGTGATTCGGGCTGTGCTTGTGCACGTCGGGCTGAAATGATCACCCCTAGTGTCGAGCTGAGGTCTCCTTTAGTTGACAAGGTGTCGTGTTGAGGTCTCCCTCATCAGTTATCGAGGTGCTAAGCCGAGACCTCCCTCAATGACCAAGGTGTCGAGCCGAGGTGACACCCTATGTACACACTTGATTAGGTTCATGAGACCTTTGATTTGCAGGTCTCCCTAGCAGCTGAGGTGACGAGCCAAGGTCTCCCTCAGCTGCTGAAGTGTCGAGTTGAGGTTTCCCTATCAGGCGATGTGTCAAGCTAATGTCTCCCGTAGTTGACGAGGTGTCGAACTGAGGTCTCCATCAGTTGGAGAGAGAGTGGCATTCTTGTAATCTATAAGAGGAGAGAGAGAGAGATGGCAAGAGAGATAATAACATTCTTGTAATTTATAAGGAGAGAGAGATAGTTGATAGGAGAGAGTGACATTCTTTTAATTTGTAAGGAAAAAGAGAGAGTTGGTAGGAGAGAGTGGCATTCTTGTAATTTATAAGGAAAAAAAACAAAAGAGTGAGAGTGGCATTCTTGTAATTTGTAAGACAGAGAAAGAGAGAGAATTAGTAGGAGAGAGAGTGACATTCTTGTAATTTGAAAAATAAAAAAAAAAAAACAAAAGAGAGAAAGTTAGTAATTTGAAATGAAAAATAAGCAAAATCTACTATTAGATTTCATTTCTTAGCTTCTCAGGCCTTCTTTCGTACACATTCTAACTTAATGTATTTATATTGATAATTTAGTTTAGTTTGTGTTTGGTTTGAAAGAAAGGTCCTTGGTTCGAGGGTAAGTTTGTGGGAAAAGTTGGTCAATGAGAAAATTGACCAATTTTCAACTTTTTCATGTTCCTTTAGGGTCTATTTGTTTATTGAGAAAGGGATCAGAAAAGGGAATGTTCTCGAATGATTATCCCTTTTCTATGTTTGTTTGTTGGTAAATAGTGTTTTGGGATTAGAAACGAGAGGGATGCGGGATCCCAAAATGAAGTGAGCGGGATCGCACCAAAATAGTGTGACCCCGGTGGGAAAAGAAAAGTTTAAGACTTTGAGAAAGTTTATCGAGCTTTGTCATAATAGGAGATCGACAGTCTTGTCTCCTTTGCAAGTAGCACCCTAACAGTCATATCTCCGTTGGCTTTTCCAGACATCTCTTTGGAAGGTAAGACAAGATCCATGAACAGCTTGATTTGGCGATTATATTTTACCCATTTTTGTTTTTTTAGCCCATTATTCCTTCTTTTCTATCCCCGTGTTTTTTCCCTCATTACTTGGAAGCTCAGTTGGTGTCTCCATTGTTTCCGGTAGAGGTTTTGTTGGAAATGAAACTGCATCCATCACGAGCATGCATTTATTCCCTTTTTTTTCAATTTTTCTTCTCATTTTAACCCAACAGTGAGATCTGGTCACACTACGGTTTTCCTTCATGAGTATGCATCTATTCTTTGTAAAATGTCTAAATACAAATGGGTTTTCCATATATGATATTTTCACCTCATTTGTGCAGATCTATGCCAAATCCAAGAATGTATTTGTTCCCAAGCTTGAGGTAACACCCCTGCTCACACTCCCATTGTTTCCCATATATCTTCATTCTATTTTGGTTGTTCTTTTCTCTATTTTTGTTTTTATTCCCTACAATATCTACAAAATCATAAATAATATTTGCAAGGTTAAATATAATCTCTCTTTTTTTTTGCTTTTATTCCCTCTAATCTCTACAAAATCAATAATAATGCTTGCAAGGTTAAATATAACATCTATTTTTTGCTTTTATTCCCTCTAATCTCTACAAAATCGATAATAATGCTTGCAAGGTTAAATATAACATCTATTTTTTGCTTTTATTCCCTCTAATCTCTGCAAAATCAGTAATAATGCTTGCACAGGTTAAACAAAACCTCTGTTTTTGTTTTTATTCCTTCCATTCTCTGCAAAATCAATAATAATGTTTGCATGGGTTAAATATAATCTCTGTTTTTTTCCTCTTGTAATAATACTTGCACATGGTAAGCACAATCTTTGTTTTTGTTTGTATTTCCTCCAATCTTTGCAAAATCTGTAATTTTGTTTTCGCCTATTTCCCTATAGCTAGTTTGGTTTATATGGGAATCAAAATAAGATTCCATTTGCTGTTTTTTGACTCATTTGGAAGCTGGAACTGAAATTAGCCAAAATTTCAAATTTTCCCTTGATAAAAATTCAAATGTTGTTTTTTTCTAAATAGATACATAACTTGAAAATGATAAAGAGATAAAGAAAATTATCTTATATATCATCTACAAACTATCCTTTTATATATAAAATATAACAAAAATTAGAAGAAAACCAGGGGGTTATAAATTATTAATTGGGCCTGAATTGGTTATGAATAGCAAGAACTGGTCTTGACCCAACTCTTAATCAAGGATTCAAGATAAAACAACACAACCAAACAAATTGACATTATCATGATTCCTTCTCTCTGTCCAGCCTTTGCATCATCATGTTGTTTTATCTATTCTTACTAAATTTCAACACCTAGGACTTGGAACAAACCTTGATTTTCTAATACAAAACATATTGACATCAGTCTTGAGACTTAAACATTGAACATTATTAACTGATGGAAAGCCCATTGCTTCTCCTACTCAATATCTCCACCAAGTTTGAACTGGTAAGATTTCTACCATCAATAGTTGAGATAATACTTGGACAAGCACAACAGTAGTTTGTAATGGCTTATGTCTTCCTTTGTTGAGGGAGAAGAGGAGGTTCAATTCAATGTGGTGTACTCATCAACAAATTACAAAACCAGGACAACCATGTCCTCAGTTTTTTTATCCTTTATAAAGATTTTATGGTTTATCTTGTTGATGTTTCTGAGTGGGGATTCTGCTCCCCTTTTTCTATTTTCTTTTGATGTAGTTTTTTCTTATTATCAATAAGAAGCCTTGCAAAAAGGTTGATGATTCAACTAACAAGAGATTATAACATCAAAGTAGTAGAGACATATTTTCATATGAAACAAATTGTACTGGTATGTCTACCTTTTTGAGTTTCCTGAATTTGTTATGTTAAGCCTAACACCTTGTATAAGTGTCAATGTCCTCAATTCCTCATCATATAGCCCTATGTCATCATATTATATCACTATAAATATATAGGTTAAAACGAACTCTGAATTTATTTTGGTGTTTGTTTTGCTACTAGTTTTCAGTTTTTGACATGCACATAGTAAAAAATAAACAAATAAATGAAATAAAATAAAGTCTTAAGAAGCAACTTAGAAATTCCTTACGTGTAGTAATGGTCCATATACATCATTGCTTATAGTAATTTGGCTATATAATTGCTCATTCATGCTTCTGAGGATCTAGGAGATAATCTGCTGCATAGAAGGCCAAAAACCTCTAGAATCTTGGTAGCAAGGTATGTTGCAGTATGACACCCATCCACTCCCTAATGGCTAAACTTATGTTACCCGGATGTGGCAAGGATATGGCACGATACAGTATCAAATATGGAACTTACAATAAAAGTATTTGACATGATACAACTCCTTCGTACAAGTATCTAGGTATCATACTACATCACTTGAATGGCTTTTTGTTAAATTTTACACTTTACTAGGGTTACCTGTAAGAGGTCCTTGATTCTAAATTCAGTTGTTGCATTTGTTGCTGAATCCTGGAGAAAATCAAGATCTTACCAAGAAAAGAGAATAAAATTTGGACTAAAATGGGCTGTATAGCTAGTTTATGTCATGTATCGAACATTAGTTGTTGGGGTTTTATTTTTGTTCTTTTTTTCTTAATTGTCAAAATTAGTATGTCATATGTAGACATGTAGTTAATAATTTTGATTATTAACTCAGCTTTATAGGTAAAATGGATTTATACAAATGTTTTATCAAGTTATGGTTTTTGTACATTCTCTCTTTGGTTACAAATAACCAAAGCCAATTGCTGTATTGGACATTTTGTCCTACTTCTCTAAAGATTGTTGGAGAGTGATATTTGTGATTCATTTGCTTTATCAATCAAATAAATTAGATCATTTGTTATTGATTATATAAAAAGAGAAATCCTTCTTCAAGCTCTCTGTTTTAATGGTATGGCATGATGGCACCCAAATCTTGATTCATGGTCATTATGATTCCTTTTGTTGTTTAGCAAGGAGGTTAGACTTACTAAGTATCTTTCTTTGCTTCTTAGAACTTAGGTTCTTGTCTCAATTCCTATTTTTTGAATTCTTGATTGAAGTTGTTGAACCTTGAACATACCTACAGGAGACATATATCATTAGAAGCCTGATTCTAAAGATTGCTATCCTTAGATCTAACATATCCGAATATATATATATATATATATATATATATATATATATATATATATATATATATCATTAGAATCCAATAATACATGGTTTGTAACTCCTTATCTGTCATTGTCGTATGCCAATCCCACCTAGGGATGTCAATGGACCAGATATTGGTCCAATCCGATCTGGTCCAATATGAGCCCATTACAGATGGACCAGACCCAATCTAATCCATTGAATACTTTGGACCATTTTGGATTGGTCTAATTTAATATTTGGACCACCCAGCCTGTCCAAATTGGTTTTAATTTAGATTCGGTTCAACCTAAACCTGGTCCATTGACACCAATGCTCTTATCTTATGTCAATGGACCCAATATTGGTTCAATCCAACCTAGTCCCATATAAATCCATTATAAATGGACCAGGTCCAACTAATATGTCTTATTGGTCCACCTAAACCTAGTCCATTGACAATGCTAATCCCACCTAATTATTATTATTAAGTTTCATACCCATCCTCTAGCATGGTAGCACTAGTGTGGTAGTTGTAACTGTTCAAGATAAAGAATAATGAATCACTTAAACAATTTTGGCTTTGAGAGTTGAGCACTTGATGCAGAAGCAAGCAACTTAAAATTGGAAATTTCTGATTTTTATGTACTTTTTTTATTTTTAGATAGTAGCGGTAAGTATGTTAATAATTTTACTACAAAAATCATTTTATATGGTTGCTCTTTTTATTTTCCTTGGCTACTTTTCCAACATGTAAACTATATAGGCATTCTAGAATGATTTCCCCAATTTATTTATTTATTTTCTATAAATAGATGGAGCAAAATTTGCTCTATGCAATTGTTGGGGCTGCAACTTCTACGGTTGTAGTTACATTTTCAATGTTGCAAGAATATGTGGATTAAATTGATAGGGAACCATCTGTGAACCGGGATTTAGAATGAAGGGATTTATTGGATAGATTATATGGACAAAAAGAAATAGATTGTTATAACCAATTGAGAATGGGGAAAGCAGACTTTGCAAGGCTATGCAAGATTATTCGTGAGACAGGAAGACTACATGATAGGGAACACGATGGTGTTTCCCAAACTGACACGACTCACAATCCAAAACAGAAAGCTGACTCAAAGACGAAACCAAAGACTTTAAGACTTTTAGCGATGGATGACCAAATCGGCAGTACCACTGGAGAGGAGAAAGGGATGACTGGAGAGTTGTTGAAGTTCTACCACCACTACCGTCAAGATAATACAGTCCACCAGCTTCATGCCCTCCACCAATCTTCATTCCCGTCTTGAGATCTTGAAAAACACACATAGAAGGATAAAAGGTAATGGAGCAGTTAGGTGATTTGGTCAGCTTACTGACAGACATAAGATTAAAAGGCAATTTAGGAACATACAAAACTGAGGAGAGGGATACAGGATCTAGGTCAACATTACCAACACAACAAATTAAGGATGTGGAAACATTAGCAAGGGTGACAGATTGTGATGTTGAGCAATGAGATAAGGARGAAAACACACCTGGAGTTCCAGTCATGTGATCGGAGGCTCCAGAGTCAATGATCCA